CCCCCCCCCCCCCCCCCCCCCCCCTCCCTTTGCCACAACGTTCTGCGAACTGCACAGGTACTACACCGACATCCCCGATGAAGACCCGCCACGAGAGGGAACGTCGCCGGCGAAGGCCCGCGCCGCCGGTATCACGCTTCCCGAGACACCTCCGGGCGACGGCTGGTCGATGGACATTGGTGCCATCCAGACCAAGGTCCGACTTCTTTCTCTTGTCTATTGGTGTCTCTTTTTCTGTTTTTTTTTTGTCGCCCTTGCCTCTCATCTTTATCTCTTTGACTAGGTTGGCAGAAAAGAAAAAGAAAATTGTTTGGTTGTTTGTTTTGACAGGTTTACAGGCATTGATCGTTGCAGGACGTGATCAGTGCCGCTTCGTTGTCGTGACTATCATTCCTTGTCTGGCAGGCCTAGAGTGCCTTCGCATGATGGACTGGCTCACTCACGCCTCCAAGGCCACTCCCTCGGTCTCTGAATCAGCAGTTGCTGGACTCGTGTTTCTGCTTCCTCGTCCTTCCTGCTGCTGTATCTCCTCATATTAAGTATGTCATACAGAATCATGAGCGGCAAATGAAAGGTGCCCAGCTTTTTCCTCACAACAGGTTCGTGTTGTGTGTTATGTTCGCCCTCCCCTCTCACGCGGTATGTTCTTGACGATCGGGTCCAAGTCTTTCCGCGTGACAATGGCATTATTTTGAACTTTCGGCTCTCTCTGTCTCTCTTTCTGTCTCTCTTTCTGTGTGTGTGTGTCTCTCTCTCTCTCTCTCTCTCTCTCTATCCCTCTTACACACACAGTCACTCTGAATTTCATCGTCCGCACGACTGACCTCTTGCTGCAAGAAACCTTGTCCTTCGCGGCCTGATCACAAGAAATTCCGGGTCCAACGTCTTGGCGATAACGCGCTAACCTCTACCCTGATGTTTCTACCCTCTTTCTTCTACCGCACCCACCCACCACTCACGCGCGTGTATCCGTCGGTGCTGTGACCCCCTTTTGCGACATGAAAACTTGAAACAAATATCACACGACAAAAAAGATGGACCTGAACGGGACGATGAACGGCGGCGCCGCGGCAACAGACTGGCTTACCATTGCGCCCGAGGGGTTCCGGCCACTGCTGGTATGGGTTGCTTCGCGGTATGGCCGACCCATCATCTTCGTCACGGAGAATGGCGTGGACAGGTATGTGGAACTCCGTACGCAAGCGGTTGGTTGTGAATATCAAAGTGGTAATTTGCTTTTTGTTGCCCATCCCGGAACACACGCATATTCCATACCATGGGTATTCCGTCCTGCAGCTGGGTAGGTGAAAAATTGTATGGATATGGTGCAGTGTGTGGTTGGTACCGCACGCCGCTTGCGGAGTTTTAGTCCGCGACTCTAGCGTCTCGGATCTGCATTAGTAACGTTTGTTCACCTTTATTTCTATAGTTTTAATAGTTTATTTCTTTCTTCTTCCTCCTTCCTTTCTTTCTTTTTTTCTATCTTTGTGTAGATCTTCGCACTCAAGACCTCCAGGGTCAATCAAGCCTGGTATGCCTACATAGGTTATCCACACGAAAAAGGACAAGTGCTATTTGCTGTATCGTCCTGACTACTGCTGTTCGTCCGTCTTGCTCAAACCTACGCCGTCGCGCCAACGGGCAGGGCCGGCGAAGACGAAATGGAGTTGGAGGAGGCGTTGAAGGACGAGGCGAGGCAGTCGTACTACCACGGCTACATCACGTCCATGGTGACGGCGGTGAGTATTGTAGAGGCATTGATAGGCGTCAACAGAACGCGCGACCACTAAGGAACTTCAACGGTTGAAAACTTGAGCCTAAAAACACCCAAGAACTTGGCCATAAGAACAGGTGGTCACTGAAGAGGCCTGCGCTGAAGTATATAGTCGCCGTGGGGGTACTGTACCCCATAGACAAGACGCGTCCTGTGTGCCAGGATCGCACCGGCCGTGTCCACGCGGATGAGACGAGACGCTCGGAGTCGCCCCGAGGGCATGGGTATGGTCGGTCTTGCACGGTTACTTTGGCTAGGCAGATTTGTGACTTGCTGAGGAGGAGTGCGAAGACCTGGATGGCATGTACCACTATGGTACTTCTTTGTTTACAGGAGCAAATAGAAAGCTCTGCGGGGGGGCCGCTGAACGGGTGGGGGGGTGGGGAGGTGGGAGGGGTGTTCCGATGTTACCTGCTCGCCTGTGGTGTCCGACTGTTTTCCTCCGATCAAGGATCCCAAGCACATGACGCACGCGTTTCCGGTGCAAACGACGCCCTTGGCGGCATTTCCTCGATGCGGGTAACCTCGGGGCGTGGAGCTGATCTTTTTTATTCGTTTATAGGTTTTGCACGGATGCTTTTCCGGGGTCTTGCTTTGCACTGACCGTCCCGCTGTTTCCAGTGGCCGAGTTTTTGCTCACAGAGGCATTCCTGGGAGAAGCCCACCAGCTATTGGCTCAGCTGTAATGACGCGAGCGATTTTTGTTTCTCTCGCAGGCTGAGTTACCCGCGCTTCGCCCACATGCTCAATCTTGTAGATACGTTGTCCTCGAGAGCAGAACTGCGCCGTCAGACCGGGAACACTTCCACCTTCCACGAAATCTACGCTCCCCATTATTTCGATACCACCGGCACAATTGGCGCCCGCCTTGCCTCACCGCCATTGGCAGCTTACACGGTTGTGCGCCACAACCCCCCCCCCCCCCGCGCCCGGTTGTATTTTTGTTTCCACAGATGGTGGAGGATGCGGTGGACGTGAGAGGCTACTACGGTGAGTTGGCGGTTGAGCTTGGTATTGTGACAGGTCAAAGGGGTTACGCACAATCACGGTAGGGTGGGAGCCAGGGTCAGTGGTCGGGGGGCGCCGTCAGATGAAATTAGACTGGGAAGTATGTGTCAAGTGACCGTACCTCTTTCGCTGAGTACCCGATGGGGTCGACCGATGCTACAACGCCCCGGGCAACGATCTGTTGGCGACGAAACGCTGCAGGCAGACGATACTTGAATAGCACACGGCACTTGGCCAAGGCGGTACAAATACACCAAACCTTTGGGCAATAGCTAGCCCCCCGCGGTCTATTTAGCCTGGCATTCATTCCCCCCGCTTATTCCTGGTGTTTACCGCGACAGTCCCAACCCTATTTCTTGGTCTAGACCATTTCGGTTTCTAATCCAATCCCCAGTCTTAAGCCTGCCTTTCGCCCACTTAACCCTGGCCTTTACCCCCGGCAATTGCAACCCCCTTTCTTGCACGGGACCCTTTTGCGTTTCTAACCCAAGCGCGACGGGAGCGATCCGGCCCGTCCCTGACCTTTAGCCCTCTGGCCCTCCTTCCCTTCCGGGCCGTGGTTCACACGCATCCGACATTTTTGTCGGTTTTCCGTCGCCCATCGGCCTGAGTTCGCCATCTGTCCGGCCCCGGCAGTAGCTCCACTGCCCGGAGTTGTGCAACGGCGATTGTACTTGTTCTTTCGGCCCTATCACAAAAACCTAACGATTAAAGCTTTGGGGTGTTGTTGTTGCTACTGCTGCTGCTGCTGCTGCAGCTGCTGCTGTTGACTTTGTGCCCTGTGTTGCTGTTGCTGGTCCTTCACTACCCTTCCCGCCGTCTTCTCGTTCACCCCCCGCAGCGTGGTCTATCCTGGACAACTTCGAGTGGTCCGACGGCTACAGGCCCCGGTTCGGGCTGACCTTCGTCGACTACGACAACGGGCAGGCGCGGTACCCCAAGGACAGCTCCAAGTGGTTCGCCAGCCTTGCCAAGGCTAGACGGGAGCGCCGCGACGGCAACATCACCGCCGGCTGTGACTGCACCGACTCCTCCTCCTCCTCCTCGGATGACGATTCGGACGACGATTCGGACGACGATTCGGACGACGACTTCGGTGGCGAGGCCGCCAGCTTTGGCGAAGAAGGCGGTGCCGCGGACATGCAGATGGCGGCGGGGGAAGGGGGCCAGCAGATAGAAGGAGGGGAGGGTCCTCACGGGCTTCAGGACGCCGGCCGGGCGTCGGGAGGGCTGGTTCTGCTGTGCTTGCTGGTGGCAGCGGCGGTAGGGGCGGTCGGGTTTAGCCTAGGGAAGTACAGCCGGTGGGCTTGGGGACGGGGTGCGCGGTACGAGGGCTTGGCGGAGCTCCCGCGGTCGAAGGGTTGGTGGGTAGCGGCGTTCCTGTGCTCGGGCTTCGTGGCGGGAGCCACCTGCTCCGTCTTGCTTCTCCGGTCGTGAGACGATGGCTGCTGCGCGAGCGACGTACGTTCACTGCTGCTATAGCGGCAGAGTGCATATGCCCGGGTAGGCGTCTCTGGAGAGCGGTTCTGTCGTTGACTTCCGTCCTTTTGTGCACGGCGGAGTCGATGTAGGTTTCCCCGTGTACAGCTGTCACGGCGTGGCCTGTTCCCGGTGCAAGCTCGATCCAGGGGTGGAGAGAGTCGCGCGGATGTTGCATTACAGCGGTTCCCTCCCTCGGCCCGAATCCAGAGAACGCCACCAATGCTAGGTTGGTAGATCTTTGTATGCCGTGCGCGACGGTTGCGATTTTGTTCCGTGGTGGCGCGACCAATGGCCGCGGCGTGCATTGGGGGCGCACCTTTTAGTGAAAGGACCTCTCTCCCGTCCGGGTGTATGACCCCCGTTTTTGGTGTCTCGCAGTCGATTGCATGATGATGCAGAGATTGAGCCTTAGATGAACTCTCCCGGGTCCCTGAGTGAGTGTGATGGGCCGTTTGATATCTCGAAGGCGGGGACGGTATTGCGAGGGCGAAGTCGGACGGTTACTTACGTGAAACGCCTGCCCGCGAGGTGTTCCCGTCGCATTTTTTTTTTTTTCCGACGTTGGACGTGACGTCCTTTCGGTCTTGTGTGATATTAGGTACTGTCTGCGTGGACGTTGTTTCCTTGTTTGGATTCTTTTTTTTTCGGCGCAGATCTATGGAGAGGGATGTTTGTTCATCGCGGTGGTGTGGGCGTGCGAAGTCAAGGTTTTGTGCACAAAATGCCGCTGGTATTAGCTGTGCGGGTCGCCGGTGTTTTTGTGCGCGCCACGAAATTTGCCGAACTATCGTCATCGTCGCGTGAGCATGACTTTGTGTGTCGGCGAAGAATGGGTGAGCGGTGTGTTGTGTGGAGATCATTTGCTCTCTCATCTGCCTGCTGTGGTGTACGGAGTCGGCTCGCAGTGTGTATGTGCTTGATTGGTTGCGCGCGCTTGATAGTTTGTGCTCGGTGCCTGTTGTGTCTCGCTGGCTACCTACTACAGCAACAGTCCTCTCGCGAGATATTTTCGACCACCCTTCATGGTCAATTATGAAGTATGTAATTCTGGAGTTGTGTTTCGCCACTCTTCGGGCCGAGCGAGCTCGGATGTTTTTGCACCACCATAGCAGTGTCCTTTCCGATATTTAATTGCCGCGCGTACCTTCTTTCAGATTTCCTCTCTGCTTTTCATGCACGAGAGGATATGCCCCGGGATATCATCTGGTATCTGTAGAGGTACGGCATTTGCCTTTTATAATTGAGGTCTAAGCCTTTGGGCCTCCAATTTTATGTATTACTCCTTATTGTCGAAGATGAAAGGAGCGTGGTCGGTGACCGGTGGTTTTCTTGCTGCTTGGTTTGGTTCCGCTTGGCCTCGCGTGCCGGAAGCAGTTCATTGGCTGTGTGTTGTCGATCTGCTTTGTTCGGTCACCTACTTCGAGGTCTTTTGACTGTTTGAGGACTTTTTTTTTGTCTTGTTCTTCGCGTTTGGTGATGGGTGGTTGTTTTTCTGGATCGTTTACACGTGCAGTTCAAAGAGGATGTTGCCCCTGTTTTTTTCTTCTTCTTCTTCTTCCTTCTTGTTCGTTTTTTTGTAGTCTAGAGGCGAGCAGAGGGTTCTAGACTACATATCTGTCGTTGATTTGGTTTCTACTGACTTACATCGTGCTCTCAATCCCGAGGTCACTGACGTTCGTTTGGCGCAAAAACCAAAGGTCATTGACGCTCGTTTGGCGCGAAACCCACAGGTCACTGACTTTCGTTTGGCGCCAAAAACAAAGGTCACTGGCTTTCATTTGGCGCGAAATCCAGAGGTCACCGACTCTCGGTTGGCGCGAAATCCGGACATCATTGACTTTCGTTGACGCGAAAGTGTTACTGACTTTCGTTTGGTGAGAATCCGAAGGGCGCTGACTTTCGTTTGGACGGTACGAAATCCAGAAGTCACTGACTTTGGTTTGGGGCGAAATCCAGAGGTCATTGACTTTCGTTTGGCTGGCGCGAAATCCAGAGGTGACTGACTTTGGTTTGGCTGGCGCGAAACTAGGACGTCACTGGCTTTCGTTTGGCGCGAAATCCCGAGGTAACTGACTTTCGTTTGGAGCGAACTCTAGAGGTCCCTGAACTTCGTTTGCCGCGAACTTCAGAGGCCACTCACTTTCGTTCGGCTTGCGCGAAATCCTGAGGTTACTCACATTCGTTCGGCTGGCGCGAAATCCAGAGGTCACTGAGTTTTGTATAGCGCGAAATCCAAAGGTGACTGATTTTCGTTTGGTGCCGCAACCAGATGTGACTGACTTTCGTTTGGCGCGAAATCCAGAGGTCACTGACTTTCGTTTGGCTCGAAATCAGGAGGTCTGCGACTTTCTTTTGGCGCAAATTCCGGAGGTCTGTGACTTTAGTTTGGCGCGAAATCCAAAGGAAATTATCTTTGGTTTGGCGCGAACTGCAGAGGTGACTGACTTTGGTTTTGGTGCAAAATCCAGAGGCCACTCTGACTTTCGTTTGGCTGGCGCCAAACCCGGAGGTCACTCACATTCATTCTTCTGGCGCGAAATCCAGAGGTCACTGCCTTTCGTTTGGCACGATATCACGAGGTCTGTGACTTTCGTTTGGTGCGAAATCCAGAGGCCACTCACTTTCGTTCATCTAGGGCGAACTCCGGAGGTCACTCACATTCTTTCGGCTGGCGCGAAATCCAGAGGTCACTGACTTTGTTTGGCACGATATCACGAGGTCTGTGACTTTCGTTTGGCGCGAAATCCAAATGAAATTGTCTTTGGCCTAGCGCGAACTCCAGAGGTGACTGATTGTGGTTTGGCGCAAAATCCAGAGACCACTGCCTTTCGTTTGGCTGGCCCGGAATCCAGAGGTCACTCACATTCATTCGGCTTGCGCGAAATCCAGAGGTCACTGACTTTCGTTTGCGCGAAATCCCGAGATCACTGACTTTCGTTTGGCGCCGAGGCCAGAGGTGACGACTGACTTTGGTTTGGCGCGAAATCCACATGTCACTATCTTTGGTTTGGCGCAAAATCCAGATGTCACGGACTTTCGCTTGGCTGGCGCGAAATCCCTAGGTCGCTGATGTTCGTTTGGCGCGAAATCCCGAGGTGGCCGTCTTTCGTTTGGCGCGAAATCCAAACGAAACTGTCTTTGGTTTGGCGCGAACTCCAGATGTGACTGGCTTTCGTTTGGCGTAAAATCCAGAGGTCACCGACTTTCGTTTGGCTGGCGCAAAATCCGGCGGCCACTGTCTTTCGTTTGGCTGGCGCGAAATCCGGAGTTCACTCACATTCGTTCGGCTGGCGCGAAGTCCAGAGGTCACCGACTTTCGTTTGGCACGAAATCGCGAGCGAGGTCCCTGAATTCTGTTTGACGCGAAATCGCGAGGTCACTAACTTTCGTTTGGCGCGAAATCCCGAGCGAGGTCCCTGAATTTTGTTTGACGCGAAATCGCGAGGTCGCTAACTTTCGTTTGGCGCGAAATCCAAAGGTGACTGGCTTTCTTTTAGCATGAAATCCAAACGAAACTGATTTTGATTTGGGGGCAATAGCCAGACGCCACTGACCTTCGTTTGGCTGACGCGAAATCCGGAGGTCACTCACATTCGTGCGGCTGGCGCGAATCCAGAGGTCACTGACTTTCGTTCGGCGCGAAAAACCAAAGGTGACTGACTTTGGTTGGACGCAAAACCGAACGGCTCATGACTTTTCGTTTGGTCGGCGCGAAATCTGGAGGTCACTCACATTCGGTCGCCTGGCGCCCAATTCAGAGGTGATTGACTTTAGTTTAGCGCGAAAAACCAAGATCACTGACATTCGTTTGGCGCCGAAACCAGATGTGACTGACTTTCGTTTGGCGCACAATCCAGAAGTCACTGACTTTCATTTGGCTGGGGCAAAATTCAGAGGCAACTGACTTTCGTTTGGCTGGCGCGAAACTAGGACGTCACTGACTTTCGTTTGGCGCGAAATCCTGAGGTCACTGACTTTCGATTAGCCCGAAATCCCGAGCTCACTGACATTCGTTTGGCGCAAAATCCAGAGACCACTGATTTTCGTTTGGCTGGCGCGAAATCCGGAGGCCATTGTCTTTCGTTTGGCTGGAGCGAAATTTGGTTCACTCACATTCGTCCTGCTGGCGCGAAATCCAGAGTTCATTGACTGTTGTATAGCGCGAAAACCACCGGGGACTGACTGTCGTTTGGCGCGGAATTTAGAGGTGAATGACTTTCGTTTGGAGCGAACTCCAGAGGTCACCGACTTTCGTTTGGGGCGAAATCCCGCGGTCCCTGAATTCCGTTTGGCGCGAAATCCGGAGGTCTTTGACCTTCGTTTGGCGCGAAATCCAAACGAAACTGACTTTCATTCGGGGGCAATAGCCAGAGGCCACTGACTCTCGTTTGGCTGGCCCAAAATCCAGAGGTCACTCACATTCGTGCGGCTGGCGCGAATCCAGAGGTCACTGACTTTCGTTCGGCGCGAAAAACCAAAGGTGACTGACTTTGGTTTGGCGCGAAATCGAGCGGCCACTGACTTTCGTTTAGCTGGCGGCTGCCCTTGACGGCGCCGTATCAGCGCTGGAGAGCACTCTGTTATTGGCCGCTGTCCGTGTACAGCAGCATAGCAGTAGCCTGCACACAGGCTTCGATATGGGCCTTGGCTACCCCATTTCTCTCTGGAAGAACTCGCGTGCGTATGACAACTTTTCTCGTCTATGCGATGAGGAAATGGAAGCCTGGTCGATCCTCAAGGTATGCTCTTGCTGCTTCCATATTGCTTGGCGCCACCCAGCTCTTCATGACTGATTGAAGTAAGAGGGGGCTGGAGTGCGTACCCGTCGGCTTAAACCTGCTGAGCTTTCTCCAGACTCTCTCAAACGTGGAGCGAGAAAACATTGCCAGCCGGTGGTTCCCGCTCAGGTATTGCAGATGATGCTGGAGAGATCGTCGTTGAATACGAAAAGTGATCCCATGTGCGTGTGGTACACTGCTTTACCAATTAACC